TTGCGCTGTTACCAGAATATGGCAAAGCTATTTCTTCTGACGTTGTTGAAAATCCTCTTAACTCTGCCTTTTTCAAAAGAAACTTAGAAATCTCCGAGCATGATGTCAATAGCCTGGGAGTATCAACTGTTTGAAGTGTAGCTGGTGTAAGGTTTCTTCTGAATTCTAAGTATTCTTCCTGAGCTCTTTTAAAAGCACTTTCAATTCTAAATTTGTCATCTGGATCACAACTGCGGTTAAAATCTTTTATATGTGTCTCAAAAGAATTCCAGTGGCTAATTCTATGTCTCATAACAGTTTTGTCAGTATGCATTCTGCAATGGGCATACAAAGGATCCGCATCATCATCATTCAAATGTCCAGCTGCTGGAGCTTCTGTGAGCAGTCCATGTTTTTGAGCACATGAAACATGGAAGAATGTTTTACAAAGACCAGCATCACACTGAATACATATCCCAGTTTTGCTAAATCTCTTGTCTTCACACAATGAGCACTCTCTTGCAGACCAACGGTTTGCTGAAATATCATCAAGAACAACTGTCTGCAGCCTATCAACATCTCTAAATCCGACACCTGGCACATAGAGAGCACAAATAAGATGAACCCACTGCCCATTATCTGCCTGCTTTAAAATTCCTCCTTCTACAGGGCAAAGCTCACAGTGTCTGCTACATTTTGCTTTGCAGGCATCACAAAACCATGGCTCTGTATCAGTGTCAGAGTCACTTTTGTCATCAGATTCATCATCATTTGCATCACCATAGCAACCTTCATGTACTGTAATCCCACACCAGTCACATTCTACAAGTTCATCTTCTTCTGTGCTTTCATTCTCCAAGCAGATTCCACAAACTGGGAGGTTAGACTTTTTAGGCTTCGAGGGTTCTTTGCTAGAAGTGTCAGCCTCTTGAAATGTGTTTAGTGTATCTGATATAGTCATGTCATTCTCGTCATGTTCATCCCCGACAGATTCTTCCGATTCACTTTCGTCTTCATTTTCCGCAAAATTTTCATCATCCTTCGAAGCATTTTCTTCCAGGTCCGAGGAGCTCTTATCTCTTTTGTTAGCTTCATCTCCAGAATGATCCGACAAATCGTCATCATCTTCATCAGAGCTGGCGACAAAATCTTCATCGTCTTCGCTATCACTAAACATTGTTTGAAACTGAATTAGCTGTGCTTCAATTGTAGGTTTTACCTTCCTTTTGTTCGGTCCCCTGTTCGAGAAAGACCTTGGTAAGGCGCCAATGGGCTCCTTTTTACTGTCACTGTCGCTTTCATTTTCCATGTTGATTTATTAACACATGAAAAGGACTGTTCACTTTTCTTGCCCGGTCAAATGACACAGTTTTGTCAGGCCTATCCCGCCACATAGTGTGGCCGCCTCGTTCCGAAGGAAGAGATTTCCTGTGCTCCTACGCAGCACACACCGCAGATATTTTTCAGCGATCCCGTACTTGTTGTAGCCATTTGTAGTAATAGTAATCTCATTTATTTTGCATGACAAAATTATTAATAATTATTACTAGAAATAGCTCTTGCTAGTACTGCCCGCAAACAATTAGTTCCTTGATAATGATTGTTTTGAAAATTTAGGTCAGGATATTCGAAGAAGATTCCATCTTGGGTTTTCACAATTTTATAAAAACAGCTGCTCTAGTTGATGCTAAACTATTCTTTTTATCAAGAATTTTTGGTGTTCAGTTTGCCTTTGATTTAAGTCCAACGCCCTTTTGAAAATCATGAAGTTTTTCTAGGGTTTGACATTTATTTTTCGTTTTCGTGAAGCAAAGACGTATGAAAATGGACACGTGATAGAACGGGTACAGCTAAAATAGATTGCGATAAAGGATTCGTACAGCGATGTACAGGCGATAATCACGACAATCATAACTTTTGCTCGTACGGTGTCGAGTTTTTGGGAGAAAGGTGTGGCATTCGACTGGTTTTGATTCCCAAAACTTCGAATCAAAACTTCCATCCATTGCGGAGAACCGAGCTGTGATGCAGCACCGTTTTCGTGCCAAAAAACCGAAGGCCTTTAACAGAGTCTTGGCAGAGCAACGCTCCGAAGATAATTCCCTTCCGCACAAAGAGGTGGCGGTTAACGACCTCCTCGACAAAGCCGATTGATTGACAATGAAATTGATTGACAGTTGTCATGGCAGCAGAAAAGTGACAAAATCTGCTGACAAAGTGCTGACATTATGAACTGAAGCTTCCATATGCTACTTATACGCGGGGCAGACTATAAGCCCTTCACTCGCGCGCTATTGCGCGCGAGTTGCGGGCAATTATAAAAATTTGCTAACTTCGAAAAAGCAAACAGATCTTTTTTCTCTGGGGAATATTCTCAAACAAGATTTTTGTAAAGGTATATGGTAAAATGAAAAAAAGCCAATGTAATCCCGTTTTTAAAACAGATGACCCGAAATTACCCTAAAATATAAAGCCCTTTTCTCTTTCACCTATTGTCATTCATCATTTGAAAGATTGATGCTTAGAGAACGATAATTTTTTCTTAAAATATCATACTCACTGCAATTTGGATTTCAAGAAAATCGCTTCAATGACCTTGCACTGATTAGG